TCTTATCTTCAGCATGTATTTGCTGACTCTTTTAACTGCTCCTATATGCTTTTTTTACTTTTATCTATTAGTATTCCTATGTCTGAACCTTTCTTCTTGTCTATTATTGCACTAGTCTAATATCTCTTATATTGTGTATTATAACTATGCAGTAGAAATTTCTACTCTTATTCTATAATATTTGTTTTCATTATTCCTACTATTGTGAATTCTTCTTTTTTGCCCATTCTAGGAGAATACCTATTTTCTATTCTCTAGTTTTAAGTTCATAGATATTGTGACATGCCATTTTTAATTCTTTCTTTCTCTATTTTTATTTTTTTTTTAGACATTTATATCTTATTTCTATGTTTTCTACTTTTCTTTTTCCTTTGGTTTTCTATTATAGCCAAGAGATGCCTCTATATTTTTTTTTTCAAAAATTCTTCTTTCATTATACAAAAACTCTTCGATCTCCTGATCTATTTTCTTGATTCAACTATGACAATGTTAAAAGTGATTGGTAACATCTTTTCTTGTCTTCTATTCTATCTTGTTTTGTTATACTTCAAGTCTCTTTAGTCTTTCAAGAATTCTTTTCAGAAGGTTCTGGTTCTGTAGTTGTGGATTTTCTTTTTCTGTATTAATATTTTCATCATCTAACTATTCTACTATATCTTGTATTTGGAAATTATTTCCTATTTCTATATGCCTTTTGTTTGAGTTTCAATTGCTTTTGTTTCTGCTTTTTCTTTTTCTTTTATCTATATTTCTATTTTCTAGATCTTCTCTTTCTATTTTTGCAAAGTTTTGGTTGAATTTTGGGTCATTCTGTCCTAGTTTTGTCCTCTTCTTTTCTAAAAAACTTCTTTTTTTATCTTTTTTTTTCCTTTCATTTACCAGAATACATGAAAGTTATTATACATGATTGGTCTTGATTGAGCTGTTTTTTTTTCTCTTTCTGTTGCAAATGAAATTATTGCAGTCCTTCTTTAGTTTTTATTTATATTTAGTAGGATGTATACTGATTTTGTTTCTTTATTCCTTAAACATCATAATAGTAGAACTTTTGAAGTATTACTTAGCAGCTCTGTTAATTTTGCTGTATATTGCCTTTGTTTTTGTCTTGCTTTATAATCTTTTTTTTTCTTCTGTTACTCTTACTAGTTTTATAGTTATCAACTGGTATAAACCAAGAAGTGTTTCTTTTTTCTGATTCTTCAACTTGGATTATTGCAAGAGCCTTGTATTTGGATCTTTTAACTTCTATTATTTGTGTATTTTTGAATCTTCTATATATGTATTCAAGTTTCTTTTTATTTATATCTGCTGGCAGATTCCAGATTGTTATATATTTTATATTCTTTGCTTCTTTTTTTTCAGTGTTTGTATATTCTTCTTCTTCTCAAATTTTTTCTTTTCTATATCTCTTTTTCTTATATTTTGTTATATTACATTTTTTATTTTGGTATTCATTATTGTATTTCTTTTGTTCTGTTCTTTTTCTTTCTTTGTCCTCTTCTGGTAACATTCTGTACCAATTACTTTTTTTTTATTTATTCTTTATATTGCTTTGTTTCTATCATACTTGCAGTCGAAGTCTACCTCAATTCACAGATTTTCTTATTTAAAGATTTTTTAATGCTTTTAATGTATTTATTGTCTTTTAGTAACTACTTGATAAACTTTATACATTCTTTTTCTGTTTTTCTAAACATATTATATGCTGATATATTAGTGAATAGGCTGTTGCCTTTGTTGCAACTTCTTCTGTTTAGTACTTATATGCTTTCTTCTAATGAAATTTTTGCTATATCTATTTCTTTTTCCACTACCTGCTTTCTTCTTTTTTGTCTTTCTTTCTCTTCTGATGTTGAATCTTGTCTCAATTCTTTACTATTTATTTCTATATCCTCTTGTTCACTTTTCTTGTTTGCTTTTTTCTTAATTTTTTTTCTTGCACTAGTGGTTCTTCTTCTGATTAATCTATACTTTTATTACTTTCTTTTATCTTTGCTTTTTTCTTTGTGATGAAGTTTTTTCTTGTAATCTTCTTTTGCTTGTACTGTCTTCTTTTATCATTCTTTTAATTTTTCTTTCTGTCTCTTGTTTGTCTTCTTGTTTTTTTTCCTTTTTGACTATTTCTTGTTATATTATTTCTTTATTTTCTTGTTTTTAAGTTCTTTCAAATTCAATTAGCATTATATTCTTGTCTGCTTCTGTAAAGTTAAGTTTCTTTTTTGGTTGTTTTCTTTTTGCTCTTTCAATTAATTCTTTAGTTTTTTTTTAATAATGCAACTTCTATTAGACTTTGCTCTATAAACATGGTTACAATTTTATCTTCTCTTTCTGGTAATACTTATGTACTACTTGACTAATTAAAGAATATTTTATTATATATTCTGGTCATTGTTCAGTATACTTGTTTCATGAATATTGTTGAGAGACTTTCTCTATACTTTATTAATTCTATGTTCTATTTATATCTATAAACTTCTAATTAGTTATTAGTTTTCTTTGTTACTTTGCTTATCTATATATAGAATTTCACATATATCGATATAAGATTTGTGATGTCTATTCTAATTTGATAATCTGCATGTGTTTGTTGTTGTTTTGCTATTATATGTCCTTTATGTAATGTAAACAGATATACTGTATGTTATAGGGTCTATTGGCAATCTCTCACTATTGTTGTTTTTTTGTAAGTTTTCTACTTTTCTTTTAGTAACTATGTTGTTAGTTTTGTAGATAGACTATTTTCTATTAGTTTATTGCTTTTTTTGTTGCTGCTTCTTTTTGCTTAAAGCTGCTTGAAATGTTTTCTATTACTATCTTTGCTAAAATCTTCTTTTTTTTTAGCTGTTTTTTGTATCTAAATGATTAATGGAAAGAGTTATTATTCTTTTGAATTTATTTTATATTATAATTAACTATCTTTCACTATTAGTTAAGATAAGATATCTAATACTTGTATTATATCAACATAACTGAAAGATCATATAACATTTATATAATATACTATTATACAAAGAAACACATACAGTACTAAGTAGTGTGAATCTATAATAAATCCTTGTAATTATGTAAATTATAAAAACTAAAAAGATAAAAATTTATTTAAAAAATCCAAGTAGAGAGAGAAATAATCTAAACTTTTGATAATATTATTGTAAAAACTAGACCTAGAAAATGAAATTAAAATTTATGAAACTGGATAGTATGTTGATCTTTAGAAAAAAAATATCAAATTGCCAAAACTTTCTAAAAGAAAAGATTATATATTAGGAAACATATAAACTAAAAAAATGTTTATATTTATCTTTTTAGATTATTTTAACTAAGAACTTGATAAAACTTAAATTAAATATCAAAGTAATAAAGATATATTGTGAAATAAGTACTAGGATTAAGATGAACTTTACAAGAATATAATAGTTTAATAATACATTCTAATTATAAGTATTGATTTCAATTATAATGTTACTAGGTTAGTTATAAGAATAAAATATAAAAGATTCTAAAAAGTTTAATACAAGATCAAAAGTTCTTTATAGAAATGAACTGTTTTAAAGACTTAGTGATCATGACATACTTTTATTAGTATCAAACCAAAATTATTAATAGATATGTATAAGTAAACAAGTAGATATGAGAACTAGAATGTTTAAATAAGAAACTTACAAGCAAGTTTCAGGATAACAGCTAGTGTAGAACCTTCGAACAGACTACTTAAATTAGACAATGATTAAAGTTGTACGAATGACTAGTTGTACGTACACTCTTTCCATGGTTGCTCCCTGTAATTGTAATGCAATGTACTATCAATAGAATTAACCAATCAAATTAGTGCGCGATAAATAAGAGTATCGCGCTATGCGATGTATATGGTTTATCCTATTTTTTATGTTTTAAGAATTTTATGCTTGTTACATAATAAAATAAACCATAATAATGTTTAACTTTATGGCCATTTATATAAAATTTTTAATTAATCTGTGCTTCAGAATATTGTGTAAAAAAATCAAATTAGTCGATAGTTAACTAATGCAAAAGAAAAAAGTCGTTTTTCTAAGACTTATTATTCGATTACTTCCTGATTTTATAGAATATAAACTTCTCTAAATAAATATGCAATACTTTTTTTAAATGATATAGATCGTTCTCAAGTTTAGGTTTAAATACTTGAACAAACTATCAACTTTACGAGTATAATGCTTTATCTGTGATATGCATCTTGAATTGTGTTTTAAACAATAATATCAAGTACTTCTCCAAGATTTTCATGTATCATTATGATATATATATAACCTTCGTATTAACACGGGTAAAAGTCTCGTTCGAATTTGCTAATTAAACATAATTAATTTTTATTGCAATATATCGATATGAAATCTAATAATATCAATAACTGACTATTTGGTTTAGTACATACGTTGGAATTTCAAATATGCGTTGTCCTTAAAGCCTTGTGAATACAAAATAAACGATTCAAAATTATACCGATATGTTAGAGATATAACGTAATGGTAAGCATTGTCAGAGTTCATAATTAAATAGGATTAAAATGAAATTTGGGGTCCTCCTAAACCCACTAGCTTTTTGAAATAAAATGTGTACCGTATAATGTAAATAGGCTCTTTTAGGTAGGAGATTAGTTAATTCAATATATGATATAAACTACCTTAAATTTGCTCCATACCACCTTTTAGGATTAATGGACAGCTTTAGATGTGAATTTATAATAAATAAATAGATTTTAGAGGTTAAATAGAAACCCAAAATTCCAATTTCATTATGATTTGCGACAATAATTGTCTAAAAAACTATTACTAATATTATTTTTAAACGCAACTGTATTAATATATTTAAAATCACGGATTTTCTTTAATGAGTATAGACGTTATGAATCATAGCTCTAATTACCAAAGGAAAAAAGTTTATTTTATACAAAATTTGATCTAAACAACTATATAATAACTAATACTTTATATACATGCAAACATTGTTATTTTAAAATTTTATATTTCCAAGATAGTGTTAGTTAATTTATAAAGTCTTTCTCCATAGTCCGGAACGTAATAAGATTCAACACAGAAATCAAAAAATTCTGTGGGTTGATCATGGTCTAAAACATTTCCTAACAACTTTGTAATCAAGTTTTGAAATATTTGTCTTGAACTTTCATTTTCCATAACACTGATTTCGATGCATAATTACCGATTAAAAAATAATTTTATGTAAATACAAGACGCAGTAACTGATCAATTTTATAACATACCTGGTTGGTCGCAATTCTTTTAAAAATTTAACCTTAAATATATAAAGCAATGTAAAATAAGAATAAATTGTAACTAATCAACAAAGTATATTCCAAATTTGAATCTTACTGCGTCAGGCCCAAAGACTAATACGGAAAGTCGTTCACCAAATTTATCTTCAACCAATAAAAAAAAGTCATATATAAAAGTGGTATCATGTGGACAATCATGGTATTGATTTGAACCTTCATGTTTAGGAAATATTCTAAAATATCCGAATGTTACTATATAAAAATATCATTCACCAAAATGACTGTTTACTACATAAATTGTAATACTCACACTTCATCACAGGCAGCGCAAAATGGTCGTATAAATTTTTCAAAATCAGGTCCGAAATCGACAATACGGCCACGTGTAAGAAATTTACAAGGTACTTCCTAAACCAAATAACAATATTAGATTTATTAAATAATATTCATTATAAAGTCATAAGAATAAGCAAACTATAATGCGCACTTTATATTTTTTGATATCATTAATGGATGTTGGTTTTACGTGGCAGTCAATAACGCCTTCAATTAAAAAAATTTGATCCATATAATAATATATTAATCATAGCATCGACATGTTGATACTAATTAAAAATAATTTTGACACTTACGAGTGATTTTTGGGACAATATTCGAATTTATACAAACTTTTTTTGGAAATTTTGCAAAATTACTATATTTTTGCCTAACTAATTCCTTTCTCCTGAAAAAGAAAAAATGATAGTTACATTAAATTTATTATTAAATATACAGTATTATTAAATATATTATATTTATATTATAAATTATAAAATAATTTGACAAATGAAATGTTACTTCTTTAATTCTATTACGCCAGATGAGCTCATCTCTATTTGTGTGACTCGTATTCTTCGCGTTTCTGGATCACCGTGTATAACTCCTTGGAAATGATTAAAGTTATTGTGCTTGGGTTGTATATTCTGTAAATATACATACATGCCGATCCGAAAGTTCTGGCTAGCAGCTATATGTTCGTCCCATAAACTAATTTGGAATACATTACACACATCGAGTCCGTCCGGTAGTTTCGAAGTAAAACAGTTGTTAGAAAGCAATTCATTACGAGTATAATCCGTAATATATAATTCTGTTGTAGATTCTAATCTATATATTTCTACAATCTATGTTTATAATAGGAACACGTATGATTATTATAATGCTGTTAAAATATTAAAATTTTTTGTTGATAGAATTTACCTCGGCAATGGTGTCGAAAAAAATATTCGGTCGAATATCAGCAATCGTAATTAATTTACGTGATTCTTGTCGTCCAGCGTAAAGAATCTCTAGATTGTTCCACCAACTTCGTAAGTGTTCAGAATAAGCCATGATCTCGGTAACTCTATTGTGCATTACATGAGAGAATTTATTCCCTTTGAAGTCATCATTTATGATTGTACAGGTAGATTCAAGTTTGTAAGCGATAAGTTGTGGTGAATTCATGTAATGATTGACCTTTGAATTAAAAAAAAAAAAATCGATTTAGGAAAAATAACACTAGTGTTTAGTTATGAGGTTGAAAATTTATATACCTTAAGTCCGGTTCCTACGAAAATGCTACCAATACTCGCTTCCGGTATTTCTGTGTATTGTGCGCGAAACATGATGACTGTTACTTTGCCATTCAGTGAGGGGTCCGTTATTTGAAACGAGCATAACCAATCTAATTTGTTAAAATAATTAAGACTTTGATACATATATAGATACATGTATTTATATATAAATAATATAGATAACGCGTGTTTTATGTTTTACCTGTACCCCTACATCTTCTTGGAGGTGAATACGATTTTACTACTCCAATCACGTTAACTCTTGTTCCCAGAACAAGATTTGATAGAAGGCTATGGCCCTCAACTGGAACGCGTCTTGACTCCAAAGTCATCTCATAAAATATGAAAGCCTAATATACATTTTTAGTTAGATACGTACAATATTATTTTACAAAACATGTATTTAAAAAAAAAATATATTATTTCTTACGGAAAATTTTAAAAAATTTCAAAACTTTAAAGAGAGTTACCATGATATTCTTTTGTTCGATTATTTACATTTTTATATATTAAAGATGTTCTTTTGTTGATTTTTCTCTGATCGACCAATAAAAATTTAGTAAAAATCACGTGTTGAGTAATATAGTTTTCGAACTGTGCAGATTTATCCTGCAACTTACTAAAAATGACTTATTATTACTTTGCAATAATAGGCACAAAAGATAATCCAATTTATGAACTAGACATTAATGTCTCGGGTGCGAAAAGTGCTGGCCTTGAACCAGGTTCAAGGGTAATTATTTTAATAAATTAATCTTTTTCTATAAAGAACAATATTAACTATCTTTATAAAAACTAAAAGAAAGACGAACATCGACATTTAAATCAATTTATTGTACATTCTGCCTTAGACCTTGTAGAAGAATTACAATGGCACTCTAATGCTATGTACGCTTTTGTTAATTTTACGTTTTTTAGCAAGTTTGAAACTCCTTGATAAAAAAAAAAATTGTTTTTTGTATTCACATTGTTCGCATAAATATAGGTACTTGAAATCTGTTGATAAATTTAATGATTGGCACGTATCATCCTTTGTTTCAGCTGGAAGTATCCTTTTGAACTCAAAAATGTGAAAATTATAATAAAGCGTCCCAAACTTTATAATTATACCTTGATCCTTTAAAGATATCAAATTTATGCTATTACATGAAACAAAAAACGAAGAAGGAATTCGGAATCTTTTTAACGAGTGCTATGAACTCTATATTAAGGTACAGAATATATATTCTCTAATCTTTTAATTAATTATACTCTTTAAAATTCATTATAACAATAATTAATATCAAATAATTTAAATATCTATTCAAAAAGATGTTAATGAATCCATTTTATGAACTTAATACACCAATCACATCAGCGGCATTTGATAACAAAATTCGGTTCATTACTAGAAAATATTTATAATATCAATTATTCTGATATACGTATTCACAATTTGTGACACCATATTCTTATTACTATATATTTGGCAATTAATAATTTATTATCATAAAACAAATAATTATTATGTCAATAACTATTCTAGGAACTTTATTTTTTCTACAAATGGTAATTTCATAAATTTCTAATACAAGCATTATACCGTCAAGTTTATAAATTTTCGTTTTGTTAATGACCCAGAATTCATTTCTTCATTCTTAGGTATATCATCAAAGAACTCCGCTGTGTTATTGCTTTCCCAATCTCGTTTAATATATTTAAGTGCAGCCAAGTTATATCCCAATAAATCCTAACGAGAAAGTGTGATTAGTACATAAAACAATCATCTAAATTAATAATAAATTTGAATTCTAACCTTATGTCGCTTTAACGCGGCTCGTATATGTGTCTTTAAAGAATTTAACCTTGGTTTAATAAGTCGATTTGCTACTATTTGATCATGATGAACTTTAAGAAGATGAAATGTTATTCGACACGTCAATACCACATTCCATTCCTACAAAATAAAAAGTATGTTGCGTAAATAACGATATCATAAATAATTTAAAAAGATGATAGCTACCTTTTTAGCCCACAAATCCAAATATTGGAATAAAGAAATCACTTTATTAAATGGTAAAACCAATAATGCCTCCTCTAATTCTGAAGATCTTATTTTTTCAATAGTTCTGAGAACATATTGATCCCCAGTTAAATTGCCAAGTGCAGCCAGAATAGGATTGGGCTTAGGTGGTGGCCCAGGATCTTGTCCTCGCTCTTTAAGCTGTTAAAAAAAATTATAAGCTTTGTGAAAAAAAAAAAATTGTTCAGCCTCTAAAAGTTTGTTATATAATACCTGATTATAGGTTTCCCAAGCTGCAGTATTTTCGTCAGCAATATCTAACGATTCCATGATACGTTCTCCAGCCTTGAGTGTTTCCATGGTTTGTTTTCCAGCAGAAGTTGATTCGGCATTGTCTTCGAGCGTCGCCTTTTCCATTGAGGTTGTCAAGGTCGAATCATATAGTTCTTCCAACTCTTTCTCTCGCTCTTCTTCTAAGAAAAGCTGACATCAATAATAATTATCATAATTAGCAAAATATAAACATTGCATTATCAATTAATTAATTAGAAAACAATGTCAATACATTTAACATTCAATTACCTCCTCATCAGTTTGTTCCCATGCTCTAATAGATCTATCATGGGAGCCAGAAACAAGCAAATCACCTCGTCTACTTATTGTCAATGCCCATACTTCACCGTGATGTCCTTCAAGTTTTGTAATATTTTCAAACTAAAGAATCGTAATTCATAAATTAGTATTATTTACAGTAATTATTATCTATAGTAATTATTATCTATAGTAATTATTATCTATAGTAATTATTATCTATAGTAATTATTATCTATAATAATTGTTCTCAACAAGTTCTACAAGTTATATAACAATTATCAACTAACCTTGTCAGCATCCCAATATTTCACCAATTTGTCTTTGCCTGCTGAGAAAATATAATGTGTACCCTGAACAAATTGAACACACGTAATACTATCTTGATGAGCGAATATTGACTTGTGACAATCTCCAAAATCAAGACCCCATATTTTAATATTTTTATCAGCAGAACCGGTGACTAATAATTTATTATCTGAAGATATATCCATTGTTAACACGGGTAACTAAAAATTAATGATTATAATGAGATGATATAAATATTTAAATTAAAACTAATAATATTATTGAATTACCTTGTGGCCATATAAAGACAAGAAAAATTTTAAAGTATCATTATAGAATACTTTAACAGTCGCGTCTAATAATGCTACGGCAACCAATTTCTGATTAGGACTATATCGTACACACAAAATGTCATCGTTCATTTTTAGTGTACGCGTATGAATTAAAGTTAAACGACGAGGTCCCGTCTATGACATAATAAATTAAAAATTATATATTTTGTCAAACAAATATCAAATATAGTATTTAAAGAAACCTTGTATACAAACCTGATTTTCATTTGTATCGTCATCTTGTGACATTTCAAAGTCCCAAAATTTTATATTGGAGTCTGCACTACCTGTCACTAATCCACGTTTATCTGGCCGAACTTGTAAAGACCATATTGGACCATCATGCGCTTTAATTGATTCTGTTTGAGATGAAGAAGCGAGCTCAAAAAGTTCCAAATCTCCGGATTTTGTACCAATTATGACCTATATAATTATTATTTATTATTATGGCAATGCAATCTCAAATACAGTATGAGAGATTTAATAAATCTTGTAACTTACATTTCGATCTCCTGGTAAGAATGAACTGCATAACGCGTATCCACAATCAATTGTTCGAATACATGAAGTTGTTTTAATATTCCAAATCTTAAGATTGCTCTTTGATGCGGAACATAATAACTCATCGTCCGAGCTTAGCGCTAAAGTTCTGATATCACTACGATGACCAGGAAGGTCAACAGAATACAGCCTTGATGGTTCAGCTGTTTCTTGAAATTTTTCTTTTTTCTTCATGGGAAGACCCATTGTATAAAGTTCAAGCGTGTTATTTGTCAAAGACACAAGAATCTAAAAGTTCATAAATATTGTGAGAATTGCGAGCAATTAGAGACTTAGTGTCAAATCTTATAATAAGAGTGCACCATGAGCGGACCTCTATTTTTAAATAGAGGCTCGATTTTCAACTTCAGCAGCTACAACTATTATATTCCATTGAAACTTACTTCTATCGAGCCAGATTTAGCACTATCATTTTTTGTCGAAAAATCAAAAGACCGTATCTTTGCGCCAGCTCGAACCATTCGATAAGGTGTTATCATGTCACTAGCACTAACTTCCATCAAGTCATTATCAATATCCATATTAGAATCATCAACTTTTTGCTTCTTTTCTTTCTGACGTTTCTTACGACGAACCAATTTCTTTTTTATCTCTTCATATGAATAAATCCGAAAAATTTCTAAATATTTCTCAGGACCTTGAACACCCAATATATTGGCAGTTGGGTGAAATTTGAGAGTTATAACACGTTCTTTGCATTCTTTTTTTATATTTCCATAGAGATTGATTGCTTTTTTTATCTAGTTTCACAATAATTACATTACGTATATTAATTTAAAAAAAATATATATATATATATATATAAGTTAATATATTAATATATTTTACTAATTACCTCAGTACTTTCGTCTTTCAAAGTACTTTCAGATTCAAGTCCTTGAGCTAATACATCATGATCAATTGTCCATAATTTTATTTCTGGATCTGCACTTCCAGTCACAATTAAAGTTTCATCCTTTGAAACATCAAAATCCCATATTTCACTACGATGAGCAACTACTGTCTCCATGCAATGTTGAGTACTTAGATCCCACAATTTGAGAAGAGTATCTTTTGAAGATGAAAGAAGGTATTCTTGAGAAGTCGTGTTTTCAGAGATAACACCACCCGACAATGGTTTACAGAGAAATCGAATTGCAGTAATTTGATCTTTATGACCTCGCATTCTAAAATAAAGAAAAATCAGTTTATAGTTTATAACTGTCAAGTGTGTGTGTTAAGATCTCTTACCGATAGAGTCCCATTTCACCGACTACATCCCATATAATTATATCAGTGTCTTTTGATCCTGAAGCTAATCTTACACCATATTTATCGAATGTCAAAGCTGTCACAGCACCTCGATGACCATTGAAAACAAGGGAAAAGGTTGTTTTTTCAATGTTCCATATTCGAATTGATCCATCAGCATAACTAAAAAATGCGATAGTAATTAATATTTTTTTGCCTTTTATACAGACAATATTTTGAAAAATATTACAAAATACCTGCCCAACAGCATAATCGTCATTTTTTGGATTTTTTGTTATAGCAGTTACTTCTGCTTTATTATTAATGTCGAACCATTTTCGTTTCTAAGAGAATATAACATAATTATAACTGAAAATGGTCTTTAAAACTTACTAATGAAAGTAATAATTAAACATGCTATCAAAAAAAATTTTTAAAAATACTAACCAAAATTCCTTTTTTTAAATCCCACAAAGCAACTTCTTCTAATGCTGGGGCGATAGCGAATTTACCATCCTTAGAGTAAATCGCATTTGAAGACGTGCTATTTATAACGCCAAACGTCTTCCAAGGCTCGTATTTTAAATAAGATTTAACCATTTTTTTTTTTTTTTTTTTTTTTTTGCGAAATGTATCAAAAAAATAATCTAAATTTATTGTAGATCAAAGATAAATTTAGATAAATTACAGCAACCAATCAAATTAGATTTTGTAGGTTAGATTAACCTTCCCGAAAATTCCGAAAAGAAATTCAACGAACATAAAATTACAGGGGAGAACGTCCCAAATATGGAAATGATTCCGATATGAGTTACACAAATGCATCAACCAATCATGCTATGAGTTTACACAAGTCACCTGCATGTTAGCCAATCAGGTTACAAGAAAAAAGTCGTGGGATTAAGAGGGATTAAACAGATATGTTGTAAAGCGAGGTAAAAGTATCAATTTATCCGTTATAATTTTTGCATTTTTTAAAAACTTAAGCTACCCGAGCTTTTTTAAAAAAGTATTAAAAGTATTGTAAAACTTATAAAAAAAATTGCTTATCAATTGTGTAACAATCGGGTGACCCGGATAATCATTTCCAAATTTGGGACGTTCTCTTCAGGAGAGACCGTCCCGAGTGCCCCGATCTTGTAGATCGTTACACAATTAATTAAAGTTTTTTTTATATAGTTTATAATACTTTTTTAAGAGCTTTGGGCAACGTATCCTTTTAATAAAAAGTGAACGAACATACTAAGCAAACTTGAAGTTTTCACATTATATTTTAATAAAATCGGTTGATTCACGTTGATTCAGTTGATATTATACTTTAATTTCCTTAGCAACAATATGTCTGAAATTAAGGAGTGTATGGAATGTAAAACTACTAAATCCCGTCAATTTCGTTCATTAGCAGGAAATAAATGAAAAGAAGCCGAAGCTAATTGTTTGATCAAGGAGACTTGGGTAGAAGGTAACAAATTATGTTATGAGTGTTACATGAATTGTATACAGAATCAATTGAGAAAAGCCAAACAGGCAAAAGTCTTCATTGAAGAAGTTGAAACCCATGTAAACGTAGTTGAAATTGGTAAAGAGACCATAGACGAGGAGGAGTTATGTATGATTAACTTTATTGGAGTTATTAGGTCTATGGCACAAATTTTTTATGAGAGAGAACATATACGAAAAGAAGGCCCTATATATTCGTTTGATGAAATGCGGGAATTACTTCCACAAATTGATTCAAGCTTGAAAAACTTTTTCGATCAACTTTATTCATTAGCTCAGTCATTTGAACGTTGCGAGCAGACAATGGGGCATATGAAAAAATTAATGGTTTTTTTATGTTATCGTCTTGCTTCATTAAATAATTCAAGAATTAATTCTTTTTTTTTTTTTTAAATATTAAGGTGAGTACTTGTGACCCAGGATTTTATTGATAGTACATTCAGCTAATGGTTGC